ACAGGTGGACAGCACAGGTGCAGGGGGCTGTCACCCTGTGTGTGTAGTGTGTGTGTGTCTACCATTTGTGTTTGCAAACTATTCCATGAATCATGCATGAGTCAGAGTCTTGTTGGGGGAAGCAGCTATTGTATGTGAGCCAAGTGGTGTGATGGCCAGGCATCAGTGGTTATGGACATCTACGCAACAGCACTTGCCTCGGAGAGTCAGTTGGCTATCAGATGTGTTTCATTCAGTTGATTGTGGTGTAAAAGCATGTCAGCGCTTCATGAATTGAACAAACCTGTTGTTCATCCAGTGGACAAGCAAGAAAACATGCCTTGTCTTGTGACAAACATGCTAGTATCTAAGATGAACATGAGACACCTACCACCTGCTGACTCTGCTCTCCTTCTTCTCTGTGGCTCAGTCAGCTGTAAGTCAGAAAGCTGGGTAGTCTGGGCTGATTGCTTGCACTTGAACATGGATGGTTCAACATTGATGCCTGTTCCGAATCCAATCTTCGCATTTGGCGGTGGTGGTGGCCTTCCACTGGGTGAAGATGACAGCCGGACCTTCTTGTGTTCGGAGCTGTTGCAGGTGATGTTGGATGGAATCCCACCAAGGGAGAGGAGCAAGCTGAAACTCAGCCAATGTAATCAACAGCTGAGGAATGTGTGCGTCATTTGTGCAAACCTTGACTTGTCGACTGTGTTTGCCATTCACACCAACCTTTGAAGTGGCATTGGCTGATGGTGGACTCAGGATGCAGGAAGCTTGCCTTCAGATCTCTCGTTCAAGGCGACTGCCAACAAGGACATTGTTCTGTCCTCAAGTCCTTTGCCTGTCACTGACAGAGTCACTAAAAGACACTGTCACCCAACAAGCCAGTAGGCATGAGAATGGATTCAAGATGTTCTTACTTTCATGTGCTTTCCCTGCCAGTCTGTCTGAGGCAGGATGGAGGGTTCAAAGTCCGCACAGAGCATCTTGATCAGTGTGAGGAATTGAAGCCACTGGTCTTGGTAAACTAGATGTCAACTGTCAGGCATACTTCATCATTCTTTCCCAAAACAGCTGCACTAAGGTTTGTTCATGGCCTCTTTCAGGAGTGGGCAAATGCCCAGGTGCAAAAGCTGACAGAGAGCTTGACTGAGGCAGGAAGTGTCACACACTGTGTGTTTGGTTGAGGTATCAAAACATAGATGCACTAGACCGACTGGCTGGAGGCAAATGTCACCTGCATCAAAACAGCGGAACTCTTGGGGATGCTTAATGAGGCGTGTTGGGTGTCATTGTGGTTGAGGATAGATGTCAGTGCAGTGGACCATGGGCAGTAGTTATGTGTTATGTCAGTGCCTACTCTGTCAGGGACACCTCTGCCCCTCGTTTCGCCTGCCACTCGCCGGGAAGATCTACAAGGTGGTGCCAAGCTTGAATACCAGCATGGGGCCGAACCAATGGATTGTCAGAACCTGTGCCTGCAACAAAGTCATTGGTGTAACACAGTGTAGACTGAGTAAGTGAGGTGAGTAAATAATTGAATATGTGAATATGTGTAACCTTCTCAGGAGACGGAACAGTGTTCTTTGTGATGAGTGGCCTCTTCTGCAAGGAGATCACTGTGAATGCCAGAGCCTTTGAAAGTCAGGAATGTCAGGATTGATAACTGTGTGTATGGGCAGGCAATTGAAAAATTGCCCAAGAGTGGAATGCAATTCAATGGAAGAATGAACATATTGACTGCAAAAACCTAGAGTCCTGTGTTGCTGTGTGGCGCCAGGCAGATCCACAAGAGCCATTTGAGCCTCTGGTCATGATGACTACACCAACAGTAGAGCGGGCAGTGGCTAACTTTTTGGAGCGTCTGGAGCGCAATGCTGAGGCTACTGAATCCCTCACGACACCACCTGTCAAAAGGGCAGCCCAGGAACACCTCACTGAGACTGAGACCATCAATCATCCATTGATTGGAGGGCTTCAAGGTGTTGTCAATCACAACTCCGGTCAAACAGATCAACTGTTGCTAATACAAGAGAGGTGGCCTTGGGGAGTAGTCACGGCAGAGTATAAAGCAGGGCCTGGACCAAGGGAACATTATTGGTCCAAATGCCAGGGCTGCTACAGGAAAATGTGTTGATGGTGAGCGGGCTCAGTCTGAGCAGTCCTTGTTGTGGCAGTTGCCCTAAAATCACCTGTGAAAGGGCAAGAATCATACATAGAAGCAGTCGTATATCATAGCTTATATGCTGAATTCCCCAATCACTCACACTGACACACTGATCCATTACACACACACACACACTGAGGTGGGGCCTGCGACAAAGGCTGAGTGAGTGTCAGGGTGTTTGCAGTAGATTTGATGCTGGTCTAGGGACTCAATCTTGACTGGTAGTTGTAGTCGTGTATGGAAGTGAATCATGTCATACTCATGTGCCATATCACACGACTCAAACACTTTAGTGTGAGCTTTGCAGGTTTGCATGGTCATTTGCACAGGGTGGTATCATATAAATAATGTTAAGTAACCCTTCCTGCCTGTGTTATGATTGTAGTTCCATGTGAGTGTGTATGGCAATCGGTGAGGATGTATTGGGACCTCCTGGAAGAGCAGCTCACAGCGTTTTACTATGGAGGAGGTGTGCCATTGCCTGTGACAAAGGCTGGTGTGACAAAGGCTGGGTGAGAGTCAGGGTGCTTGCAGTAGATTTGATGCTGGGCTAGGGACTCAATCTTGACTGGTAGCAATCGTGTATGGAAGTGAATCATGTCATACTCATCTGTCATGGTCAAACACCCGATTGCGAGGTTGCAGGTTTGCATGTTCGATTGCACAGGGTTGTATTCTGCCAATGTCCTCTGCCCTGCCAATGTCCATTGCTCCATTGCCCTGCCAACGTCCACTTCATCAAACATGGGTGGACTTGATCATTTTGATGAATGTTGGTGGACATACTTGGATGTAACTGTACTGAAGCCCGTACTGAAGTTACTGAAGTGAAGTATTTGTGAATGACATGTAATGTTGAGTAACTCTTCCTGTTGCAGTAGATGCCATGTGGCAGCTGTAACCGTGTTATGATTGTTGTTCCATGTGAGTGTGTATAGCAATTGGTGAGGAAGTATCGGGACCTCCTGGAAGATCAGCTCACAGCCAGTCATCAGTCTGGGAGGAGGTCTGCCATTGCCATCACCAGGTGTGGTCGAGGAGTTGGTCTGCCATTGCCAGTCATCACCAGGTGTTGTCCAGGCAGAGGCCTGCCATTGCCAGTCATCAGAGGTCCTGGTCCTGGAGGTTTACCATTGCCTGCCACCAGAGGGTGTGGTCTGGGTATTTGATTGACTATGTACCACGGACCATGATTGGATTTGACCCCATCCACTGTCATGGCAGCACCATATTAAAGTGTGCCAATAGTTGGCACCTCCCATGTACCTTTTCAGCAGCTGTGTTTCTTGTGTAGCAGAACATGGAATAGACACATGAGAATGAGTTAGTCTTTGGTAAACACCCAGCCATAGATGTTGATATTTGAGCTTGTTTGGCAGGCATGTCAGTTGTGCAGTTCACTTGTCATTGTTTGTTTTGTTTAGCCAGGACATCACAAACAGCTACCATCCACCAGTCTGTAGCCTTGGCTGGACATTTGAATGTAACTACACCTGCTTGGGTTGTGTGAGTCTGAATTGTTGTAAGATATAGTTTGACTGACAGTGACTGACAAATGAGACACTTGGTGAAGCATGTTTGATGAACAGTTGATAGGAGAGTCGATGTGGAGATGCTTCATTTGATGTGTTTGTTATGTCACACTTTTCAATGAACAGTTGATAGGATAGTTTATTTGTTGCTTTTGTTCTATCATGTTCTATCATGTTCTATCACTCTGAGGTGTTCCTTGGGCACTTGTGTGGTGGCCCCAGTGGAGCAGGGAACAATCATGTTCACTTCAACTGGTGTTGTCAAGATGAAGGTAGCTCATGCGCATTCCTCAAATGTGTTCATCACTAGACCATGCAATAACAATCTAGCTTCAAAATAGTTCAAGCAAGAAAGAACTACTCATATGTATGAACCTGTCCTCAAACCTGGTCAGTGAATCGGCTCCAATTTGCTCAAATGTGCTCAAAAATGCTCACAGTGCTGGCTGAAAGGTGCTCAAATGTGCTCAAATGCGCTCAAATGTGCTCAAATTTGCTCAAAATTGCTCAGAGACCTGGCTCAAATTTGCTCAAAATTGCTCAAATTTGCTCAAAGTTGCTCAAAATTGCTCAAATTTGCTCAAATTTGCTCAAAAATGCTCAAAGGGGCTCAAAGTTGCTCACAAATGCTCAGTCGCTCAATTATGCACAAAAATGCTCAAAGATGCATAGAAGTGCTGACAAAGTGCAGTATTGTGCAGGCACATGCATGAGTGACTGGCCAGGTAGAGGACGGTTATATGGGCACAGCGAATCTAGTGTGGACCTGAATGTGATGTGAAGCATGGTTGTTTATGTGACTTGGATAGTGTCTTGAATGGGAGTGTGTGGTCTTTGCTTGTGTATGACTTGTCAAAGAAGCTTGATCAAAATGTGTTGCAATCTGCAGGCATATATCAGTTGTAGATCAGCTGTAGGTCACCACAATCAGAGTTGCTCTAGAGATGTCAGGCACAGCACCAGCACCAGCAGCAGCTCCAGCAGCTGGCAGGGAGAGAAAGCGGCAAAGGCTACAGACTGGCCAGGTGACTGGCCAGGTGGTCCCAATGATGGGCGGAGCAGGCAGCATGGGCAGCATGGGCAACATGGGCAGCATGGCAGGCATGAACACTATGGGCATGATGGGTGGAATCGGCATGCCAGGAGTGGGTATGGCTGGAATGCAGGGTATGATGAACCCAATGGCTTCCACAATGAATCCGGCTATGAATCCTACAATGACGAACCCAGTCATGAACCCCATGAATGCAATGATGGCACTGCATCAGCAACAGCAAGACACAGCTCCAGCTCCAGCTCCACCAGCTGCTGTGGTGAGCATGTCTCCTCCGGCCAATGTGCCTCCTCCTGTGCCTGCTCCTGTGGAATCCATGGAGGTGGATCAGGAGTCAGATGGTGCAATGTCAGATGTGGAGCATGATGAGTCTGGATCAGGCCAAAGCATTGTGTCAAATACTACTACTGCTGTTCAGCAGGCGGCTTTGGTGCCTTGTGAAGAGCGTGCTTCACAAGTTGGCGGTGGCCTTCCATCATTGCCAGAAGCAGATGAGATGGTTGCTCGAAGGAATGTTGAAGCATTCATCAGCAGGAGCTGCACATATGTCAAGTACATTCCGCGTTCGAGGTTGTCGGAGTGCGTGGAACTCATTTGTCCTGCCTTGGACAGTACCTACACGTCAGAATGCAGCCAGACAGGACTTTTGGCCTTACTTTGGCTATTCTGCAGGGTGAAGCCAGTGGTGAAGCTCACCGATCTCAGAAGCTTATACTATATTATTATTAGTTGTCTTCAGTGATTGGGCCAGTCTGAGTCTGATAGTTTTTGGGGATTGAGTTGATTGAGGATGTGTTCAACTTATTTCACATGTTCTATCACCACTGACTGAGTGGATATCCCAAGTCTTTGTTCCAAGGATGTGTGCGGTATGAAGACTTCAACAGGAAGATGATCACTGCACACAAGAGAATCAAGGCTGGCCTTGGACCAGGAAGGTTTCAGCAAACTGTGACCAACAGGTTCCCGCTGACCTTGAATGATGCATCGGTGCTGTCTGTAGCAGAGGACTTGGGGTGGTCACCAGCATGGCTTCAGACTCGCAAGGCCAAGAGCAAGGCAGCACCTCCATCAGGAGATTTGGCAGCAATGTTCAAAGCATCGGCCCCATCCCCTGTGCCTGCAGCCCCAGTTCAAGCCCCATCTGCCAAAGCAACTCAGTCTATGTCATGTTGCTTTTGTTCTGGTTTGTTTGCCTAAGTTTTAGTTGATAGTAAATCAAATCTTGTTGGCTTTATGACTCTTCAGCAGTTGTGATGTCAGGCAGCAGCAGTTGCTCCACCAGCATTGCGCACAGCTGAAGCTCCTCGTCCACCACCTGCTCCACGTGGACAAGCAGCTGGGCAGACAGGTCAGCCTGCAATGCCCAAGACAGGAGCTTTGGCAAATGCAGTGCAGCGATTCAGAGGCTTTGTGATGCCGGCGGGAAAGGCTTCAAGTGTGGCGCCGCAACCTTCATCAGTTGTGAGTCCAGAAGCAGCTGCAGTTCAGACAGCAAATGCTGCCACAACTCCAGCTCTCACAGAGTCAGCTGTAGTCCAGCCTCTGACTGGTGATGAGGCACCTGTCGGTCCTGTGGCATCACCAGAAGATGAAGACCTCCCAAACTGTGGGATTTGCTTACAGCCCCTGAGGCCTCAAGAGGACAAGACAGCTTTGCCTTGCTGTCATGTCCATCATGATTACTGTTTGCACGAATGGCGTGAGTGCGCCAACAAGATGGCACATGAATGCCCATTCCAGTGCCATGAAAGCACGATGCTTCATGATGTTGAAGCCATGTCCACAGATGCTCAAGCTGGACAATCGTCGTCATCCTCAGCAGCAGCTCCAGGCGTGTCCTCAGAAGAGATATCATCCAGGGATGCTGAGGTCTCCCAGTCAATTTTTGTACCAGCTGACTCTTCCTGAGATGTCATGAGCGTTTTGATGTCACCACATGCAGAGCAGTGCATGGCCAGGGCGGGGTTGAGAAGGACACCTGGTGAAGGTAAATGTGAATGATGTAGAGCAAACTCAGAATATGAGGTGTGTCAGTGTGTCAACTCTGTCAAATCAATTCATTTCTCTTCTAGTCAAACGATGTACATCAGGACACCTTCTCAGTGTAAGTGGTCATTAGCCACTGCGCAGGGTTCACATGCAATCCTTGGCCTTAGAGCACATCGCAAAAGCATGTGTGTTTTGGTGTAGCTTCGAGGGACCCAGCGGGGATGAGTGAAAAGCTGGTCAGTCTGTGTCTTGCTGTGGGTCAAACATTGAGAGTAAAGTCTGTATGTAACAGTGATCCTTTGAGAGTGAAGTCCATTAAGAGTGAAGTCTATTTGTCAAAAGGCGTTTGCTGCTTTTGGGACTTTGAGAGACACTTGACTGTCATGACAACCATAGCCTGCATAGTAATCATTCAGGTTTTGACATGGCTTTTGTTTAAATCTGGCAATCATAGTCCATCAGCAGCTTGCTTTTGCTGTCCCATAATAGGTGGTCTCCTTTGGTCTCATTGGGCCAGCACCTCAGCAACTAAAGTAAAAGGCAAAAGGGAGTGAATAGATCTTGGACTGAAATGTGCTGTGGAGTGCATATGCGTATGACATTGTAGAGCGTGCGCCTGATGCCACTTTGACAGAGCAAGAGCTCAATTGATTCATCATGATGTCATTGTCACAAAGTCATTGCATCACATTGAAACATTTGGACCTTGTCAAAGTCTAGTCATTGGATCAATTGGCACATTGGAGTAGTGTTTGTTCAAAACCAAAGCAGTGTTTGTTGTGTCAAGAAGCATCACTCTGTCCATTCGCAATGCTGCCAGCAAATGTGAGGGTATTGTACATTGAAGAGCTTAACGACACACTTCCTACAAGTGTTGCTTATGAGCACCAGCGTCAAAATGAAAAAGAGTGTCTAGTCAGGATGTGAGATGGAAAGACATTGAGGGTTGTATGTAATCTACAGACTGTCTAAATATCATGCCAGCACTGCTTGAGCAACTGAGGTATTTTTGGAACCTCCACTACATGGCAGATCACTTTGCACCGTCCCAGAAAAACATGTTGCGTTTGTGGTCCGCACTATTGGGGAAACATTGTGATACATTTGGTGAGGGCTGCATATACAAAAAGCCTTCTATTCCAAGGCCAGGTTTGAGTAAAAAGAGTCAGTAGTCTAGTAGAAGCAGTTTATTTTCAACAGAAGTCATTATCATTGAACCATTAGTAACATGATTCAAATTCAGTGTGCCCTCAGGATGGATAGTTTGGACGCAACTGCCTGCACAACACCTGCAATGGTATTTCTGCTGTTTCATGTGGTGGAGACCACCCGAACAGTCGAACGGGCAAAGTGTCTTTGGCTGAGTGAATAATGTTTTGTTGATTTGTTTTCATGGGATTGTAGTAGCAAAGTAGCAAGCAGCATTTGCCTATCATTTGAGGTGGGCTACAAATCTACTGAAGCAAATTGCAGTGCTGGGTGTTCAGCAGTTGTATGCAGTAGGTGGTGCTCAGTGCCATCTTTCTCATGGTGTGCTGAACTTTGATGCGACAGGAACCTGCGATTTGAGTTTCTCACCTGACATAGTCTCTCCCTGGTCCCTTGTCATTTTGTAACTAAGGTGGTTCTTGTTCTTCTCACATATTCATATTCTCACTGGTGTTTAAAATATAAGCTGAGTCACTCTGGCTGTCAGGTTCATACATAGAAGCCATTCACTGCTCCACACAGCGAGCTATGGGCCGTCTTTGGGATGAAATGAAAGCGCAAGACCTTTTTACAGGTGAGTTTTACAAGGCTCCATTGCCTGATGTCATTGTGTTTGTCGCCCATGCCAACAAAATCCGTTGTGAGAAAAAGAGACAATGGAGCCAAACTGCCAGTGAGAGTATCACAAGCATTCGCAATGCCATAGTATTCTTTCTCTCAGAATGCATTCGAAAGCGAGTTCAAGACATTGATTCACAAAAGCAAAATATTGGGGACAGGCCAGTTCCATCCAGAAGGACTCAAAAAGGGGAAGCTATTGTTGAAGCTGAGCAGGATGGTGCTACAGCTTCCCGCAAGAGCAAGGTCCTGGTGAACCTGACCAGTGTTTGGGAGCTGTACACTGACCCAGTGGAGACGGGGGTTAGCATGCAAATGCTGGCCAGGACACGGGCAAAGAACAAAGAGGCTGGGATGTCTGAGGATAATGTCAACTATTGGTGGAGAAAGATTGACAACATGTATTCCCAGCGTTCAGCAATGTCCATGTCTGGAGCACGCTTCTTCAATATCGCCACTGATGCCTCCCGCCATTCCACCAGGGACACATTGATCAGTGTAGTGTTTGCGCAGGAGAACCAGGTTGGGGTGTATGCAAAGGCGCAAGTGCTCAAATCTGGTGGTAAGCTCTTGGCTCCTGATGAATGTTTGTTGGACGATGATGTGGAAAGACTGGCAGCCACCCGGCAAATCGAACGGTTAGCGTCCTACAGATTGATGCAAGCAATAAGTTTTCAACTGAAACAGTTGACAGGCGGAGTCACTTTGGAGGCTTTTCACATCCCAGACACAGATCCATGGAGCGTTGCCTTGAAGCCTTTGACACCAGATTTTGTCCGAGTTGTCAGAAGAAGCCCTGAGTCTGGTACAGCAACAGCTGTTTGTTTTCATCACAAGCAGACCAATGAGGACACAGTGGCGGATCTGTCTCAGTTGTCTTTGGCTTTTACAAAGCCATTGCTCAATTTGATCATGGATCAAGGTCCTTGTGGCACATCCTTTGCAGCATTTTTGGCTGGAGATAGCTGCAATCTCATCCACTATGGTTTCTAGATTGCTTGAATTATTCTTGGCTGTGATTCATTCAATACTTCATTAATTCAGTCATTAATTTATTCTGTGGTTCATTGCAGCGTTTCAGTACTAAAGGCTAGAGTCAATATCAGTCTATCAGTAATAAGGATGGGACCCGCTACACCGCTTGATCAACGACATGAAGCATGGGATGAAGTTTGGGCCCCATGGACAAAGACTTGAAAGTGCTCTTTTGGCAAGTACATATATCTTCAACCTCAACTACAAACCATTCAAAGGAGGATCTTTCCATGCAGACAAGATGGAGTTGCTGCAGCACTTTCAAAGCACCATGGACGAGGACAGTTCAAGCATATCATGTGGCTACCGTATTTCTGATAGATACATTGTCAATAAGATGTTCTTGACTTTCCTAGTGTTAATCATCTGTGGTTTCTTTTGGCTAGCAGTGTGTTTGCTGAACAGGATTCTGACCTGTTCAATGAGTATGCTGGCCTCATCAGCTTGGACATGGGGATGCCAGTGCACAGTGCACACGATATGGAGAACCTATTCCAGGAGCTCCCAGCACATCTTGAGTCGTGTAGACTCAAGAAAACACTGGTCAAAAGTGGGAGATGGTTCTCCTGGCACGACTCCTGCAAAGCGCACCTGCGGGAGTGGTGGGCATTGAGGATGTTGCTAAGACACCAATTCCCAGACGCTCCCAATCCAGACGAGAGAGAAATCAAGCGGTTTTCAGAACTTAGATCTGATTCAGCTGGGCTTCCGTTGGCGTTGCAATGCTGTTCAGTGCGCTATTGGCTGTCCTGCAATGTGCTTTGGATTGGAGGGAAGCCTTTGTGGAGTTGGTGGTCCAGAACCATCAAGAATGTCAAGAACCCTGCAGACAATGTCACCAATATGATTGCATTGGCAAAGCATTGGAGATCTGACCAACAGTTCCGTGACCTTGTCAGCTGTTTGCTTGATCACAATGAATTCCGCAGAATCGAAGACTACTGCTCACAGTTTTGCACTAGCTCCCATGCATTTGCTTCAGAGATGTGGCATTATGTGATTGGGCTACTCTCGCACCGTGTGATCTCCATGACAAAGCATGAGCTACCACCTTATGCCTACTCCGCTGTGTTGTCAGAGGTTTCGGCAGAGCACTTGGGAGTTTATGCGACACGACTGGGCACATATATGTATTGTTGAACAAGCTTCATTGGAGGCGGCTCGACGTCTATCAGAGGACTTGCAATCATCAATCTATGCCCCAATGAGACTGTGTTACCTATGCGTTGAGCAAGGTTCGAGGGCCTCTCTGGATCAGGCAAGAAAGATCATGAGGTTCTTTATTGAAGCGCTCCCGGATACAAAAATAATTGAGGACTGCCATCAGAGGGTTCGATGTGACTCCCTCATGAACGCGAACCGACGACAGTCGGTCTCAGAGGTGCAGAGTGTGGTCATGAACAGCAAAACATTGGAGGAAAGAAAGATCCGCCATCCTTGTGCTCTTAACAGGAAGGTGTTCCTGTCCAAGTTCAAGACAACCTCTGGAAAAACTGCTCGATGTAAACACTATTCTGGGAATGAGAAGCTGAGTGAGAGGTTTGGGCGGATTCTGGGCCAGAAAAAGTGGCCCACTTTAAGCGCTGACACTCTGAGCAGATCGGCAGGTGCATTTATATGGGTGAGACACTACACGCTTGCTCGTCTTGCATCTTCCAGTGCTGCTCTTGATGTGCCTTGGAGTGAATCAAACCATCAATCATCTTTTGTGCTGATGCTTCTTGGATTGATTTATTGATCAAATGAACAACTGACTGTGAGATCATGTTTAATTTATGTCAATCTCAGGCTGCTCTTCATTGCATCCTTCTCAGGCCAGGGATGGCCTTCCATGAGCGTGGCCATGACAAGGTGAGGCTTCTTTGTCTCTCCAACCTGCGATGGTGTGTGATTGGGTGGCCACTTCGTTCTGGCAGTGATGAGGGCCATTGGATCTTGGATCCATCTGCTCAGGCGACTGTAATCTTCATGACTGCCATGAACCAATATCTCTGCAGTGCTGTCAAGCCTGAAATCAATCAGAAATCGAAGAGGCTTGAAGTCAGTTGTGACCAATT